TGTATACATTTGCCAAAACTCACCTGACTGCACCCTTAAAATAGGTACTGAATGTAAATTATATCACAATACAGGTTATTTTCAAAGTTAAAAGGAAAACAAACTAACAAACTCCTTAAGAAATGGGACAGGAGAGTCATATGCTAAACCAGTAACTTAAGAGGCAGATATGAAGGGCTCAGGAAGAAGACAACCTATGCCCCCAAGGGCTGGACATTTACCAGGAAACTCTGTGCTGCCTACAAGAGAGCAGCAGACCCCTCTTCCCTCACTTCTCACCAACCCCAGGATTGCAGAGCGAGGCAAACAAAGATTCCATGAGAACCTTCACCAGGCTGATGGAAGTCAGAGTCCCAAATGTTCCTTCAAAAATTAGTTAATAACATCCTGTCTTGGCTGGGGATTTGTGGAGGAAGGAACAGGGTGGCTGGTACCTACCAGTGGCTCCTGGAAGTGTTTAAACCCATTACCATGTCACGGATGTCACAGACAGCATCTTCCCCTACACAGAGGCCCCAGCAGGGGAGCAGAGGGCATGGGGCTGGGGAGAGCTGGAGAAAGACCAGCCAGAGAAAGGGAGCTTCCTGGCTGCAGCACACAGGTCTTGAGCTCCCGGGCCTCCCTGACGATCTGCAGACATTCTGCAGAATGTTCCCTCACAGCCTGTTTTTAAGGAAAGGGAGCACTTTAAATGTCTAATAGTGTGTGACTCAGACACCTCCAGACTCTTTACTCTGTCCTTCCTTTCCTTTCTACTGCTCAGGCACGTGTGAGGTCGGGGAGGCAACGGGCAGTTCCTCACACTCTGGGTCTAAGCTGGGGGCTGAAGCAGCTGAGGCTGTTGTTTCTCTCTTCCCTTCAGGCTCTGCTGTGGGAGAGAGGCCAGGGACACAGGAGAGGGAGTTTGGAAGAAGGAACATGAACCTGAAGCTTGGGTGTGCTTGCACTCAGAAATCTAGCTGGTGGGTGGGAAGGTGTAGCTCAGTGGTAGGGCTCTTGCCTAGCATGTGGGAGGCCCAGGTTCCATTCCCAGCACTGCAAGAAAAAAAAAAAGTGAAAAAAGAGAGAGATCCAGTTCCAGAATAATAGAATTTCAGGTGTCTGGTGCACACCCGTAATCTCAGCGGCTCCGGAGGCTGAGGCAGGAGGATGGCAAGTTCAAAGCCATTCTCAGCAACTTGCAAGGCCCTAAGTAACTCAGCAAGACCCTGCCTCAAAATAAAATACAAAACAGGGCTGGGGATGTGGCTCAGTGGTTGAGTGCCCTGAGTTCTATCCCTGGTACAATTAAAAAAAAAATTAGGTGTCCAAACCAACACCCCCTGTTCAACCCACTTTCTAAACATAGACTTGTTCCAGGGGAATATAGGCCCCTACTCAAATCCTGACTCTTATACTTAAGGGCAAGTCACTTAACCTCTCTGCTTCGCCAGCTATAAAAGGAGGATTGTGGTATCTGCCTCATCAGGTTTTCAAAGGCACTAAATGAGGACATATATCAAAAGAATGGAGCAGTGACTAGGGACAGCCAGCAAGCATCACGGTACCCCCTCGCACCCCACCCTCTCATTCTGACCTCACTCAGTCTAGACCGAGGTGGGAAGTTACTTCTCCTTTTCCAGAAGTGATTATAAGTGAGGGGCTGATCCCACCATGAGGACTCCTTTCAGTTTCCTGTACCAGACGGACAGCTTGCTGTGTCCACACCAGAAATCTACCAGAGAATGCTCTGTCTGCACTGAGATGCAAATGTGGGCCCTTAAGTACTTTTAAATGTCAAGAGAAGTTTGCTTGAGGCTTGCAAAGGCTGCCAGAATCCCTGAGAATTGCAGACTGCGATGACATTCAGACCAGGGGGGAGGCGGAGGTGGCACCGGGAGAAGGGTGCTGGCAGAGAAAGGGAGGATGCGGGGCAGAGCCGGAGGGTGGATCCAGAATGGTGAGCTGGAAGTGCAGGGACTGGGGGCAGTGCCCTGGAGAGCCTGTCACAGAGCAGAGAGGGGGTGCAATAAACCAGGACCCCAGGCAGCTGAGTACTGCTGAGCTGTGACAAAGACAGGGACCAGAACTCTCACTTCTGAAGACCCAAAATGGGATCAAAGGCAGCCCAGGATGCAGCAAAACAGTTCCCTGAGCATGTGGCCCAGCACGGGCACTAAAGGGTGGCAGCAGGAAGCAGGGAGGAGACTGTGGTGCTGCCTCACCTAAGCCCAGCCAAGCTGCATGTGACAGTGTGGGTACAGTACAGGTGCAAGAACACCTCCACCCTGGGGGCCTGTGCCCAGCGTGAGAAGGTTTGGGGCTGAGGGAAAGGGAACCCAGTGGCCGCATGGGCCTGGACAGAAGCTCTCCCTCCTCACCCTGCACTAGTGAATTCATGGATTTGTTCACTGGCTATCACAAAATTCAAGAGGCAGAAGCTAGTAAGGTCACAACTGATCGATGAGCAACTGGGAGGGCGCTCCGCTGGGCGTGGAACTGGGGCAGGAACCCAGGCAGCCCGGGGCACCCCCCCCACACCGGGCACCCCCCCACCCCGCCTGACCACCATGCTCCGCGACTTCCTGGGTGCTGGTTGCTCTCACTCCTTGCTTCAGATCCTCAGAGGAGGAGAGAAAGTCCCCCAAACACAACCCAGGCCCACCCTTCTCAGGGCCACTGCCATGCTGCAGATCGGGTGGCAGAGGGGGACGAAGCCCCCCGAGCAGCCCAGGTGGCTCACTGATCCCAGGGAGGGGCTCTTTCTGGGGCCTCCACGGCCTCAGCTTGGAGCTCCCCCAGCAGCTGTCCCTAGCAGACTTCAACTAGAGACGTTTGTGTCTCACGCACACAAGGACAAAGCATACCGACCTCTGGTGAGAAGCCCAGAAACAGACCCCCGGCAGGAGCCAGGGGCTTCTTTCTGGTGAACAGGCATATCTGACTCAAGGGCAGAAGTGAAATGTCCACAGGCTACTTCTGAGCTCTCCAGGAGTGTTCGGTCTCTGGGGCCTCGGACCCCGGGGAAACATCCAGCCTTTCTGGCCTTTCCTCAGGGCCCCAAATCCCAGCCAGGGGTGCCTGGTGACTGTGCCCCGGTGCTTAATGCAGCTTGACATCTGTCAGTGGGCAGGCTGCTGCTGGTCTCGAGTCCAGGAAACAAAGCTGCCATAATCCCAAGAAAGTCCCCCAAGTAGTCATCAATCCAGAGTACAGGCTGCAGGACAGCCCTCTGCGGAAGGGCAAGCTCCCTCTCAAAGATCTCTAAAGAAGAACATTCCACACAGACCATCACCAGCAGCAAGTATTTCCTTGCACCTGACTTCCTATGGCCACCAAAATAATCTACTTTGTCTCCTTGTCCTGCAAGGCAGCATAGCCAAAACTCTCCAAGAGAGCCAGCTCTTGGGCCTGGGCAGAGACCCAGCCCAGTCTTACGACACCAGACAGCAAGCTAAGTTCTCTGCATCTGCTTCCTCGATTCTAAAACAAGGGTGGCGCAGGTCATTGGGCGTCTCTGTGAGGACAAAGCAGACTTGTCATGGTGAAGCCCTCAATGAACAGAGGCCACTGTTGTCACGGCTGTTGATGGCATTGCCATCTCGGGGAGGGTCCTCTTACTAATATCTCCTGGTGTGCCAGGAGCATCAGCCTCAGAGAGAGGACTGTGCGCGGACCACAACAACGCGGCCTGCCTCCATGGAGAGGGCCTGAGTCTCATCCCTGGGCTTTCAAGGAACTGCCCACAGCCACTGACAAAGTTTCAACAGAGCTATAGGGTCCCTTGAAAGGCGCGGTGGAGGCTGCCAGGCCCTTCTTCCAGGCCAGGTGTTCTCCAGGATGCCTGCATCAGGGTTGACCACACACAACCTGCCCCCACTGTGCAGCCCATCCCTGCGTCCTCTCTAGGTGGAAAGCAGTGGCCCCAGGGTCCCTGCATCCTGTGCAGAGCCTCGCTGACATCCGATGCACAGAGGCCCGGGCGCTGTGCTCAGGGAGGCCTGGATCTCTGCTCTGTGTGCAGAGAGGTGATGCTCGAAGTTTCAGACACTCTGCCCCCCACCCCGGGGGGTGGGGAGAACCAGCCTGTCTTTGAGGAAGTGAACCCTCTAGTCTGAGCCAGGGATGCAGTGTTCCTCCAATACCCTCAGGTCAGCCCATTTTGGCCCTAATGCCTTAAATGGGGTCACTGAGTTTCTAACTCAAACAAAACTTTAAAGTCACTATATCCAAACTCCTGCCTTCAGAAGCTTATGAGATGGACGGAAGAGACTGTCCCCTCTACTAGTCTCTGGCCCTTTCCCATCTCACAGCCAAAGCAGCATACATCTCCTCAGAGCCAGGCAACCCAGCCTTGGATGGATACTGGCGTCACCTTGTCCTGGTTCAGCACTAAGTGACAGGGATCAAAACTCCCCAGAACCAGAACCTGAACCTGCTCTCCATGCCCAGGCGCCAGGTGAGGACGGAAAGGACCATTCTCACTCCCTCCCAACCAGCAGCTTGGGTATTTCTAGTCTGACATTCAAGACTGAGCCAGACAGGCTTGGTGGGAGGAGGGGCCGGTTTGGGATGGGGGAACCCACAGGAAAGGGCTGAAGGAGAGGAGTAGAAGCTGTGGCCCAGGAAAGGACAAGGGCAGGGCCAACAGAATCTCTGTGATCAGATATACAGCCCCTTAGCTCCCTCCAGCAGCGCGCTCTCAGCTTCTCAGACACCCCTAAGACCAAGGCTCCCCTGCCACCCACAGCAGGGCTTGGGACACTCCTCCTAAGGTCCCTGCTCTGTAGAATATCACCACCTCTCTGCCTTCCAGCCTGCCTGCTGCAGACCCCAGATTCACCCCCAGCGGGCTTGGCAGCTTCTTGCAGACCTCAGGCATAATACACCTGCAGCGAGCTCAGGGCATCGCGCACAATCCTGAAGCACCACTTCAGAGCCTCTCAAGGCCAAAGCAGGAGCAGGAAGGGAGGGGTCAGGAGGCAAGAGGGGTCAGGAGGCAAGAGAGCTTAGCATCCTACCTCTCTCCGGAGGCCCCAGGTCTCCTCAGGCGTCCTTCTCGGGGACAGGTGGGGATGGAAAGCTGGCATTTCTCAGGCCCCAGGTCCCAGCAGGCAGACGTAGCCCCGAGCACAGTTCCAGCCAGAGCCTCTGCCCTGGATGCCACCCCAGCGCATAGGCAGCAGCCCTGCCCTGCGTGGATTCAAAACCATCCTTGGTCTCCCTGCGCCTTGGCAGCCCCCACTTGCCACCTCCCCAGCCCTCGGGGGCATAAACAGGGCTTTATTATCTCAAGCCCACCACGTCCTCTGTCCTCTGCAAGCGAGCGAGCGTGTGAATGGAAGGCCACACAATACGCTGGTTGAGTCATGGCCCCCGTCCCCTCCCTCTGCCTAGCTCTCACTCACCGCTGGGTCCCCCTCATGCATAATGGAGGAGTTGTGTGGCCTGTGACACAGCCAGGCTGTGCTCCTCAGGCTCTGAGGGGATTGATGGAGAGAGGTACCAGGCCGGGCCAGGCTCCCCAAGGCGTGGGTAGGGTGGGGAGCAGACCCCCCAGTTAAGACTCAGAGACGTAATGTTTTGTGGGGGAGCAGAGTGTGGCAGGGGTGGCATCGGCTGTCCCCCATATACATGTCCTGCACGACCCCAAGCCAGGGATGGCATTTGTCGTGGAACAGTTATCAACATCCACCCTGTCCTGTCCAGGGCTGTGTGCTGGCCCTGCACAGCTCTACTGGTCCACATCTGCTGGAGGGTCTGGGGACCAGCATCTCCTCCACTCGACAGCCCATCACACATTTGATGACAGCAGGTCATGGCCACCTCTCACCTGTCCTGATCTAGTGGCAATGTAGCTCTGTCCCTGACACCGCCCCTCAGAGACCTGCTTCTGTTTGCTCCCATCCCATCTCCTTTCCGAGGAGCAAACTTCAGTGGGCCTGGGATTCCCTCCTTACTTACTGGTGGGAGCACAGCTTCCTAACAATCTGCCTGGAGAAGTCAGCAAGAACATTTAAATGTCTTAAAAATTTGTATGCTCTCTGTTCCGTAAATTCAATCTCTAGACGTGGGTCTTCAATAAACAATCAAAGACCCACTTCTAGAAATTGAATTTAAGGAACAAAGGGCATACAACCAAAGACAATCAAAACACTTAAGTCACACCAATGTTCATCAGATGACGTAGGTGCCTTGGAATCCATGGGGAATGGCTCCAGGGCCCCCCGAGGATACCAACATCCACGGATGCTCAAGCCTCCCATGTAAAATGGTGCAGCATTTGCAAATGACCGATGTGCACCCTCCTGTAGACTTTAAATTATCTCTAGATTACCTACACTACCTAATAGAAGTATAAGCAAATGCTACGTAAATAGTTATTATACTGTGTTGTTTAGAGAATGATGGCAAGGAAAAGTGTAGACAGGTTCAGAACAAATGTCTTTTTTTTCCTAAATATTGGTTGAATCTATACAGGCAGAACCCACAGAGATGGAGGGCTAAGTGTACTTTCTACAATAGTTAAAAAAAAACTAAACAGCTATGAGTAGGAGAAATGAAAACAAACTGTGTTACATCCCTGGTTTGACAGAAAACAGACTGGGAATTATGAGTTCTGGAGTCAGAGGACCTAGGGTCAAAATTCGGCTCTGCCTGTTATTGGCTGCATTACCTTGGGCAAGTTACTTAGTCTCCCTGTGCCTCAGTTTCCTTATTTATATGGTTGGGACAATCACAGCATCTGACATTACAAGGATTCAATAAATGACAGTACCTGATACTGTAAATGCTAAAAAAAAAAAAAACAGTTTAAATTCTTACTATCATAAGCAATGAAATATAGTTATAAAAATGGTGAAATAATAGAAAAATATTTTAATAAAATGGAAGATTAAAAAAGAAGCAGACTCTTCTATAATCCCAGTGGCTTGGGAGGTTGAGGCAGGAGGATCGCAAGTTCAAAGCCAGCCTCGGCAAAAGCGAGGCTCTCAGCAACTCAGTGAGACCCTATCTCTAAATAAAATACAAAATAGGGCTGGGGATGGGGCTCAGTGGTTGAGTGCCTCTGAGTTCAATCCCCGGTACACCCACCAAAAAGAAAAGCAGACTACAAAAACAGAATGACTGAGTAGTGAAATTATGAATTATTTGCATTTTCTGTTGTGTTTACATTTTCTAAATTTGCTAGGAGTAAAAGTTGCTTTTGTTAATAAGAAAACGTGTCTGCAGGGGTCTGTGTGCAGGGCAGCAGAGATGGCAGGATGGCTCTTGATTCCAGATGTGGCAGAGCCAAGAGCTCATATGTTGTAGCCTCTCTGCCCACCACGGCCCACTGTTGGCCCCTGCTGAGCATCAGGTCAACAGCCCAGCACACTGGCCCCAGCTCCCTCCAGCACCGATTTACCCCCACCCATGGCTCTTGCCTCCAATGGACATGCTAGTGGCCATGTGGGGTCAGCACAGTGAAGAAAGGCACACCAGAGAGCAAGGGTTGGCCCTCAGCTTCAGAGTTGGGACAGAGAGGGCACCCCAGGCTGAGGGCAGAGTCCAGTCCAAGCAGAGGCTGCCCCTCCTCCACAGCAGCAGGGCAGAGGGCTAATGGAGAGAATCAGCCCACACTACAGAGGACTAAAAAGAGGTGGGAGTCTGAGAAAACCAGACAGGCATCCAGACAGGCATCTGGGTGGCCCAGGAGCAGGGAAGACCCAGAAGGCAGCTGCTGCTGCGCTTCCCACTCTGTTCCTGTCCCCTGGAGCTCAGCTCAGTGTGCGAGTCCCCCGCTGGGCACTTCCCCTGGCTCCTCTCCTCACAGCGGCAGTGGCTCCAGCCCACCTGTAGACGCAGTCCTGGTCTCAACCCAGGGAGCCTGACTCTCCAGTGAGGGACAGAAGCAGGCAGAGGTGGCAGCCAGGGTGGGGGAATGTAGCGGGGAAAGAGAGAGCTGCCAGGGCTGGCCTCGATGTGGGTCACATTGGCCGAGGACAGCAGGCGCCAATACAGAATGGCCTTGATGACAGCTGGAGGGCCTGTGGGAGTGCCATCGTCAGGCAGCAGAGTCACGCTTCCTGCCACTCCCCACCCCGCAGGATCACACCCCTGCCAGCCAGGCCCCCTTCAGGTCCTGCTGGGCCAAGTCCAGCCCACCTGCCCTGCCACTCCAGAACACAGCAGTAGTGCAATGACTGCCTGCAGGGACAGAGGAGACAGGCGGGCTGAGCAAGCCAGAGGCCCTCCATCCAACCATGTCCACAAGCTACTGCTCATGTCGGGATGAAGGTCCAGAGGGTGCTGACCCTCACTGCCCAGTGTGGAAGTGAATTTGGTTCCAACAGGGCACTTGCAGTCAGGAAGGATTATGTCCGAGGTATTTAGCAGGAGCTGGGGGACCCTGTCAGAGCCACAGAGATCGCTGCACTGAGGGGCAGGTGGACGACAGCCACACGGAGGGTCTGTCCAGGACCAAGACCCAGGCTTGTGCAGCCCGGGCAGCAGCTGTCGAGAGTCAAGTCATTTGGAAGTAAGCCTTCGAGGACAGATGAAGAGTCCCTAGGGCAGCCAAGGCCAGGGAGACACCCACCTGGGCCTGTCCCTGCTTTGTTGGGTGTGACTCTGTATGGGTCTGTGGTTATGCCTATGTGTGAGCGTGCAACTGTGAGTCTATGGAAGGCAAGTGTGTGGGTATCTCTGGGGAGGGCCTTCAGTCACCGTGTGTGTGCCCAGGGAGTGTGAGCCTATTCTGTATGTGTGAAGTATCTCTGGGCACCTGCCTGGCTTGTGGGTGTTGTGCACCTGTGTTCCAGGGTGTCTGTCTTGATATAGGTATGTGCTCACCTATATCAAGTGTGCAAATCCCCTGCTCAGTGTGCGGAGCTATCTTAGTATGTGGTCTGTCTCAGTGATAGGTATGTAGGTGTGTGTACTGTAGGGTTTACAGGTTGATATGGTGTGTGTGTGTGTGTGTGTGTGTATGTACGTGGTGAGTTCTTACATATAAATGTGTGTTTTGATATTGGGTCTCCTCCTGGTCTCAATGTGTTTTTTTTTGTTCTAGTTCATGTATGTACATCTGTGAGTATATACATCTACCTTTTTTTGAGGGGTAGGTACCAAGAATTGAACTCAGGGGCACTCAACCACTGAGCCACATCCCCAGCCCTATTTTGTATTTTATTTACAGACAGGTTCTCACTGAGTTGCTTAGTGCCACGCTTTTGCTGAAAGGCTGGCTTTGAACTTGCGATCCTCCTGTGGCAGCCTAGATTACAGGCATGAGCCACCGTGCCTGGCTGCACCTCTATCTTGATCCATGCACTGTATCTCTGTGTTTCCCTGTGTGTGTGTGTGTGTGTGTGTGTGTGTAGAAGCAGAAGCTGGGGAAGACAGGGCAGTCTTATGGCCTCCCTATTGTCCACTTGGGAGCAATACTGCATGCATCTTCCACAGACCCTGCAGTGTCTCCCTAGTTGCAAAATACAATCCAGTTCCCCTGTGCCATGCTATTCCTCCAGGAAGCCAGCCACCCAACCCTCCGGCTGGACCTGCCTTCTCCCACCCCTGGCTCCCTAAGCCTATTTGGTATATCCCTCACTAAGCCCAGATTCCGTTCCTTTGTTGCAATAATACGTGCAAATATTTCCTACCTACATGCTAGAGTAAGATGCAGAACATAGACTTAGGGACTCATCTTTTGCAGCACCCCAGGTTCCTTGTCTGATGTCTGTACACAGAGGCTTGCAATAAATGCTTACTGACCTATTAGACTTGAGTTTGGCTACACGGCAAGCTGGAAATGGAAAGGGCAACCATTGTCCTGGATCCTTTAGAACTGGCAAGTATAAGACATAGGCTGAGAGATGCCAGCCCTGGTGTGCTGCAGAGCTGGGGAAAGTCTTTTGCCCTTTCTGGACTCAGGATCTGATTCTGAAGGAGGCTCCTCAAGGTCAGATAGAACAGCTCCACAGCTTCTCCATCTTCATGAAGCTCGGTTACCTAAGAACTGACCTCTCTCAAAAGCTCAGCATGGCTCCAAAGGCCCATCCACAGCAGAATTCACACCCAACTCATGCCCAGGCTGTGTCCACTTAGCCGTTTTCCTTTAGCAACCCTTGGTCATTCTCTCTGCCACCACTATGCCCATGCTCCATGTCCAAGGTTCTTTTGGGAGGGCTGAGCTTTAGCACCGTGAAGATGCACCTTGTCCTAACTTTAGTACAACCTACCAGAAAGGCTAAGATTTTATAGGAGGGCTACCTACCAAATGA